CAGTAGTCCTCTGTATTGGAACATAACTATGGCCACCCTCTAGTGCGCCAATACATACACGTCACCATAGTCAAGAATATGGCCCACCTGCTCTGGAATAAATAAACACAGAAAACAGTTATAGCAAGATGAACTGTGCGATGAACTGTTTACGTTGCAATCTGACACTACAGTCTATACCAGCCAGAGCGTGAGGAACGCTTCACCCACCACAGCCTACATCTACCTTGTTCATTTAGGAAGAACTCAAAAACTATAAATGAAACTTTATACTTACAAGTTTTAAATCATTTTTTTAAATAACATGTGACTAGTATTACACATGCTATAGATACTGTATAACTAGATAATATTTGGCATTTATTATAATGTGCCAGAGGATGATTGCTGATTCTGGTTCCTCTAAAGTTTTTTTTTTTTCATACTGACAATCTTAGAGAGATTATTTCTTTATTGCCACAGATGTATTTGGCTTACTCACCGCATGGCCCGAGAACAGTTTTCTGTAAAGTTTCTTTGAAACAATATTTGTTGTCTGGCATGACCTTACTTGATAAGGGATGGAAACATATTTCTAATTCATAAACATCCTGCTGAGAAACACTGGGGTAAATAGTGTTACATCTGTAGTTCACCTGAAGGCTTTATGCGGCTGTATTTTTAGAAGCCTGCTTTTCACACACTAATGGACTTCCTCTAACGTCATTTTATGTGTCTTTGCATTTACATCAGTATCATTCTGATGTTTTTACTTGACATTTTAGTGGGCTCTTTTCATTGAAGAACAACATTTTGTACATTAACTGTAGGGAAATCCTCCTGAAGCAAAGCTGAAGAGCTCTCTTTAAAGCACATTGATGTTTTCTCCGGTTTCTGAGTCACCGCTACTTTGGACAGAGTCCAGTGCATTGAAGGAATAGTTCACCCAATTAACTAAATTTAATTTTGCTACCATTTACTCCAAAATAAATGTTAAGACAAGAAAGTACCTGTTGAGTCAGTGATGTTAATGTGTCCTCTATAAAGAAAAGGGTATAAAAAGGACCAAGTTCTTAGAAATGTAAGAATTGTACTTCTATTCGGGTCAAAGACATTAAGATGTCCGCATCAAAATAAATTTACAAAAGTGAACAACAATTTAAAGCAGTATTACACTTATTGTTTTTATGCTTAAACCCTTTTTCGTCTTTGACCCATTCATATTAATTTTGTATAGTTTTGAAAAACTTCCATCTATCTCTCCATCAAGTAACAATAACATATTTTCTTTGCCTTTAAATATATGTGAATGTTCATTATTTAAAAAAAAAGTTGTCAAATATATATTTTCAAGGTTTAAATGTTTATTTTTTTAACTAAAATTGTCAAAATATTAATACTTTAGGTTTTTGAGTTGCACGACATGACATTTTACAGCTGATCTAACAATGTCTTTTCATTATAGGTCAGTTTATCTGATATTTTAAGAGACTTATTAACTAACTTACTGACACAGTCTTTTAGGTTTGCAGGGGTCATTTATGTGATTATATCTTTCATAAAATTGACTAATTTTTCTTGAAAAAGTTTTTCAAATAAGAACTTTTTTCTTCTCTAATAACTAATAATAGCATATTGTCAAAAAACAAAATAAGTTTTTCTTCACAAGAATTTCATTCTTTTAATGATGTTTTTCTTCTTTATGACTTAAGGACTAAAGTTGTATCACACTGATATTTCATCTATCCCCATATGACTTGCGTGCCATGTTTCTAGTCTACTGAAGCCCTTTGATAGATATGTGGAACAGACCACAATTTAAGTGTTATGCACGAAAACCTTCCTCTCTGTCACATCTCTGAAATACTTTTCTCCATCCCATGCATCGTGTTTGGCAACAACACTCAATGCCATTTGGCATTAATTACGTCAAACTTAGCGGGACACATTGCCTGCTGGGATGCACCAAGTTTGTGTATGTAAACGCGAATAAGCTTTGAGAGGCATGGTGTAAAACTTGATTTTGTGAACTATTACTTTAACTCTTAAATTCTCAGACATGACACCTCTGGTCTAAATTTCTGTTATGATGAATAGCTAAGTGACTAGAAGATGCCTTGTTTTTTTAAAAGGTACAATATGAAGTAAAAAATTACACGTTTCTTTATTATTAATTATAAAGTTTCAAGATTACAGTGATTAACAATGGTCAATACTTACACCCAAACTTTGGCAAGTATCACAGCTTGTAAATTGTTTTTTTGTAGCCAGCTAAGAGCCTTTCAGTTCATTTCATCAGTTCACATGTTTCCAAAAATGCATCAGGCATGGTTGAATATTAATTTGCTAACTTCAGATTGTGAATTTTGTAGTGAGGATGCAGGAAATGTTTTCTTCACATGATTCATCCATAAAGGTCATATACCACTTCAGAGTCTGCCAAATATTCTTGAAGCAGTCAAACACGAGTTTTAATATGCCTTTCTAGCAATCCTACAAGCAGTTCTTTCTGAAAGTGTTCTTGTTCTTCCAGACCTCAGCTTGACCTCCACCATTCCTGTTTACTGCCATTTCTTAATTACATTACGAACTGAGGAAATTACTGCTTAGAGGTACCCATGGCTTTTGATTGTTGGGACTTTTGAGAAGGCAGAGTATTTATAAAGCTTTGAAATTTGCATCAGTTGGCCTTTCCTAACAATGATTGTGAACAAGCTTTAGACCTAACAAGCTACTGTAATGTCTGAGACCTTGGTAAAGGTTATCTGATAGCTAAAGTCTTCTGCATGGGGCACAATTCCTTTTTGTTTTATTTACTCTGAAATTGTATGAATCAAAAGCAATTCACTAATCTTGCTTAAAGGGGTCATATGATGCTGCTAAAAAGAACAGTATTTCACGGCGTCTTTACGACATGGTGGCGGAAACAACAAAACTACAGCGAGAATAAAAGTTACGCCTTCTTTCTTTGCGTGAACATTTGGGTGGCGTTATGCAAATCTTCCCACATAGCGACGTAGATATGTGGGGGCGTGTTAGAACGAGCCGTTTCAAGAAGAGCTTGTAACACTTCAAAGAGAAAATAAATATTTAAATCGCATCATATGACCCCTTTAAGAAGTTGAAAAGATAGATTCATCTTTATAGCCTCTCTGTTGGAGAGTAGTTCATCATCTACTCACTTAACTATTCATAGTAATACATTAATTTAATTAATTAATTTAAAAAAAATAAACCAGGGATGCACAAACTTTTGCATGCCACTGTATGTGTGCTATACCAGTTTTTTTCCATGCATTCTCCAGCAGTTCAGAGTGATTATAGTGTGACATTTATGTAAACTGGCATATTGTGTAAATCTCTTTGATAGCAGTGTTTTACTCTAAAGTCAGTAGTACATGAGAAGTATTTTACAATTGAGAGGTAAAGAGAGAAAAAAATAAAATAAATCATAACGCAGCCTCTCCTGCTCTTGGCATCAGAGCTTACAGAAATGGCTCCTCTGGGAATCTGGGTTTCCTGCTTCCCACATTCAGGGTCCTAAGATTAGTTGCTTTATTGTGATGCCAGAGCTAACCTTTCTGACCTCTTGAGATTATGGGTGGGTTCTGATAACTGTATTCTCAGAACCACCCATCTGACCTCTAAATTCTGGAGTTTCTTAAGTTTAAGACAACTCAATTATGCCCAGCCAAGTTATTAATGCTATTAATCTTAATCTTCTTAAACTCCACTCACGTTTCCATTGCCTCCATTTTTGGGTGTTACACCCACAAATTCCAATCAACAGTCAACAGCCTACTGTTTTTTTTTTTTTCTCCGTTCAATAATCTGTTACACTTGGATGTACATCACAATAAAGAACAAGAAGAAAAAAAAAACTGCCACTCCTTCAGTTTCATCACGACATTAGATTTTGCACATGCATTTATTTATTTAATAGACAACCAATTATTTGTAGCTGTGAGTGCAAGGGTGAATGCAAATGTTTTCCAAAATGGGTGGATGGATGAATGTATGGATGGGAGGATTTATTTTGTTAATCTACT